AGAATTTTCTCACAAACAATCGACTACTATACTTTATTTTTTCGCATTAAGTCTTGTATTCGTTACTACCAGTTAATCAGTAATATGAGATGTATTCACCCAATTTCGAAACTGCGAGGTCGAAACTGTAGTCCAATGGTTCCTGGATGAGAACAACTTTTGGGAAAGCAAGGCTATGTGAAATTGCATGATAACGTCAGCTCAACTCATATGATTGTGGGAAAATTCTTCTTCTACCAGTCCTTCATCAGCTTTAACGAAATTGAGTGAATACATCTCATTACACTGATTTACTGGCAGTCTCGAAACCCTACTCGCATACCAATATAACACTATCATATTTCCCATTTTTGTGTGTATTTTGCTTTTGCCCACCACTTTCATCAACAAGTCGGGTACAGATCTCGGGTATTGGCCGTGGGACACTGGTGCAATGTTCTGTTTCTACTGTATTTTCTAACTGTCAAGGCATTAGCAACGACATTTTTCTTTCTCTTTTCCCTCTCTCCACGTCATTCGGTCGTTCTTTTAACTTTACCGAATTTGTCTCCTTTTCTTGCACAATAATTGCCCACATTCTTCCCTCCACCCCGTCTGCCACCCACCTGCGTCTGTACTCTGTTTCCACCCTCCGTTGCGGCGGTTGCCAGCGCGACAGGTGATCCCTTGGCGACTTGGCCGAAGGCACTTGTGGCCGGGCTGTGGCGACAAAGTACACAGGCGGTGCTGCGAACATGCGGGGCAATGGGTCCGCGGCTGGTCAGCGTTCGAGTCTGTGTGGGCGGATGCGGCAGTCGCGGCGATCGCAGTCAACAGTCCAGCTCCGTGTCCCGGCGGGTGGGACAAAGTCGGCGGGCCACTTGAGTTGCCGGCTTACTGATACACTCTTCCGAGTCGACCCAACCCAACCCAACGAGGCGGTCAGAGCAAACATCTCGAAAGCACCAATCATGTTGACCTGGCCCCCTGCGGGGACGCGTGGAAACTGGCCTCAACTCGGAGGCAGTCTTGCGCCATCCCCGACCCATTACGCCGCGATGACCCCAGCCTACACAAACGCAAACAAACAAATACATACATACACACACACACACACAATCACACACATGCCCACCATACGGCACACGGACAGACAAGACATGGACAAATGAGCAATCAGAACAATGTGATTTGTCGTTTTATTTGAGCTCACACAAAAGACGTGAGCTTCGTTGCTGCTCGTCTGTATGTTCGTCCTCTCGTGATTGGGTGGAGGTGAAAGGGCGCTAATTATGCACATGCGAAGGGTTGTGAGGGTGGTGGGATGCAATTTGGCTGATGGTCGGTCCCACCCACCGGGGCGTGTGACATGAATGCAGATTTGGTGGTTGAGCTCTCTCTGCAATTGCATCAGAAACTGGTCGAAATGGGCGAGGATGTGCAGGAAACTTAGGTTGGATTATACTTTTGACTCTATTTCGGCTGTATTGTGACGAGATTAGATCTCGAGACTATCGGATCTTGTAATGGATTTGCATTTTCCCACAATTTGCGCTTCCATTCTATTTTGTATGGCCTCGCTTCCCATAAGCCATTCTCATCC